TATATATATATTAGCAAAACAAGACTGTATGAAATTAATAAACTAGGGAGCCAAATCTAAGATTCAACTCCGTGATTAGTGCAGCCTCCTGATATCTGGGGGCCAAGCCGTCCTTTATAACACCCAATATACGACGTCAAATTATTAATTGCGTTAGCAACTAGCAATGAAGCATTAATCCAAATAAAAAAACATTAGCAATAATATTAGTATGCAAATTAACATAAACAATAATGCATTTTGACATAATAATAACAAGACTGGGACGCGAACTCTGTTTCTCTCTCGACGCATGTTAGCTAAACGTGTGCATCCATGGGGAAGAGGACTCAAATAAGATGATCGAAGCAAAAGAATCATGTAGACAAGCTACAAATCCGATGAAGAAGCGAGGAAATCAAGTAAATCAGGAAGTAATGGTGAATTGCAGTAACAGTCAAAACCTAAAAATGGTGACCAAGGAAATTGAAATTGAGCAAATTCGAGGCAAGGAGAAGGAAGATAATCAACAAGAAGTGACATGCAGAATTGAATTACCATCACAATCGGAGATAGATTTAGCAATTGAAGCAATCTCCAATGATACAGTAATGGCTAGCTCTAATGGAATAGTAATGGCGGAGGAAAATGAAGTTGTGGGAAAAATGGAAAAATTGAAAAGGGCTTTGTAGGAATGGGAGGAAGGAATACAACAATCTGGGAAAAATCAGGTGCAAAACAACACGGGCGGGAAATCATGGGCAGATGAAGCTGAAGAAGTAGTAAAAACTAGGGCAAAGATATCAATTTGGGAAAACTTTGATATCACAAAAGTTGCAAATGCTGGCTTCAAATTGGAGTATGTGAATCCAAGTAAGCATGGAGAAACAACAATTTGTGAGATCGAACTGGAGGATATTATTTCTGAAATTGATTTCTGGAAGAATACCATTGTCTGCTATGTGCTGGGAGCACACCCTCCCTCCAATGTGCTTAACAGTTATATACAAAAACAGTGGGGCAAACATGGTATTAACAAGGTCTCAATGCTGAAAAATGGGATAGTTATGGTGAGGTTTGACAATGTGATTGGGAAAGATGAGGTACTGCAGGGAGGGATATATCATTTTGACAATAAACCATTTATTGTCAAGGAATGACATAAGGATATGGAGTTTACCAGGGAGGAACTCTATACTGTCCCAATTTGGGTGAAACTACCTGGATTGGATTTCAAGTATTGAGGTCCTAAAGGGCTTATCAAGACATGAAGCATGATAGGCAAGCCTCTTATGGTGGATAAGAATACAAAGAACAAGATATGTCTCAACTTTGTTAGACTCCTTATTGAGGTAGCTGTGGACTCAATAAGGTGAGATTCAGGAATGAAAAAGGGGTTTTGATTGAACAGAGAATCCAATATGACTGGAAACCAGTTTTATGTAAACATTGTCACAAGTATGGTCACTTAGAGGAAGAATGTAGAAGGAAGAAGCAAACAGTTCCTCCAAAACAACAAAATGTTGAGCCAGAAGGAAAAGACACAAATAAAGAGAAGGAAGAGAACAAAGTAGAAGCAGTAACAAGAGTTGAAATCACAAAGCCAATAGAGGAGAAGGAGCCAACAAAAACAATAGGAGGAAATATGAATGCAGAAGGATGGGTGACACCTCATAACACAAGGAAGTATCCTAAGGAACAAATACAACAGTTTTCAGCAGGACATAACACCTTCAGTGTGCTAAGTGAGAGCATCACAAATAGACAGTTACAAAGCAGACAAGTTTCAAATGGGGGAGGCACTGTCCTATCTCCAAAAGGCCATGGATAACATGCTAAGCTGGAATGTTAGGGGCTTAAATACTCCTAACAAACAAAAGGAGGTAAAACTCCTATGTACTAATGAAAATATATGTTTAGTAAACTTGCTTGAGACTAAGGTGAAAACTGGCAATATGGAGAAAGTAATAAATAATATGTTTGGAGGATGGAAGTATATTACAAATCTGGATCACCATTATAATGGTCGAGTAGTTGTAGCATGGAGACCTGATTACTATCAGGTCAAGTACATAAGTGGTACTGCCCAAAGTATAACCGGCCTGGTTACAGATGTTGTTCTGCAGAAGGAATTTTATATTACAGTTGTGTATGCTTTTAATACAAGGGAAGAAAGAAGAAGTTTATGGCAACATTTAGAAAGTATGAGTGGAGGAATTAAGCAACCATGGTTGGTAACAGGAGATTTCAACTCTGTCCTGCTAGCAGATGATAGAATAGGAGGAAATCCTGTTACTATATGTGAAGTGGTGGATTTCCAAGAGTGTATTGACACTTGTGAACTCATGGAGTTACCATGTGGAGGTAGTAGATACACATGGAATGATAATATGGTGATAATAGAGTCTTTTCAAAGATTGACTGGGCTTTTGTAAATAGAGAGTGGATGGATTATATGCCAGTGATTCAAGCTATATATTTAGTGGAGGGAATAAGTGATCATTGTCCACTGAGAATAAGTAAAGATACAGGAGGGAGGAAGAGGGATAAAACTTTTAAATACTGTAATGTGTGGGCTCTACATCCTCAGTTTAAAGAGGTTGTGACACAAGGTTGGCAACAACAAGTAGCAGGGTATAGTATGTTCCAAGTAGTTAAGAAATTGAAGTTACTAAAGAAGGCACTGAAAAAGCTCAATCATCAACACTTCAGGAATATCTTAGTAGAGGCAGATGAAGATAGGGCAGCTCTAAACCAAGCTCAAAATAGATTGCATTCTGACCCCTCTAACAAAGCTTTACAAGAACAGGAGACAATCATGTATCATAAATTCAGGAATTCCTCTTATCTAGCTAAAATGTTTTTATTGCAAAGGAGCAAAGCAAGCTGGATTAAGCTAGGAGGTGACAACATCAGATATTTCTACTCAGTAATCAGACACAAAAGACTCCAACAAGCCATTACACAGATCAAGGATCACCATGGGGAATTAACTACAGATAATGCAAGCAAAACAAATGTTCTGGTAGACTACTATGAAACTATGCTAAGCAAGGAAGGAAGAAGAAGAGCAAAAACATTTCATAGCTTTCTGAAGAATTGCACTACACTGAATTCTTCACAGCAGATGGAACTCATACAACCATACACAGTCAAGGAAGTGAAATAGGCTATGTTCAGTATAGATGTGAACAAAAGTCCAGGCCCAGATAGTTATGGAAGTAGATTTTATAGGGAAGCTTGGAATATCATTGGTAATGATGTGACTACTGCTTATTGGAATTCATGGAGAATGGAAAACTGTTAAGGCAAGTAAACTCAACAGTAATATCCTTGATTCCCAAAGTCCCAGTCCTAGAGTTTGCAAGTCAATTCAGACCAATTTCTTGCTGCAATGTCATATAAAAATGCATTTCTAAGATGTTGTGCAAGAGGCTTAAGAGAGCTGTATCAATACTAGTAGCTGAGAACCAAACAACTTTTGTTGAAGGTAGATCACTAATTCATAATGTCCTTATATGCCATGATTTACTGAGACACTATAATAGGAAAACACCTCCTATGTGCCTTATGAAAATTGATTTGAGGAAGGCATATGATATGATCAACTAGGATTTCATAGAGGAAGCTTTGAGAGGATTTGGATTTCCAGAATCATTCACTAAACTGGTGATGACTTGTATGACTACAACACAATTCTCTATAAGAATTAATAGTGAAAACCATGGCTACTTTGAAGGTAGAAGGGGGCTTAGGCAAGGGGATCCTATCTCAACTCTATTATTTTTTCTAGTTATGGAATACCTGTCAAGGGTTCTTGGTAAGATGAGTGAACTTCCTGACTTCAGATACCACCCCATGTGCAAGGAGACAAAGTTAACTCACTTAGTATTTGCAGATGATTTGATGATTTTCTGCAAAGAAAATCTGAAATCCATAGCTAGAGTAATGGAGGCATTACAGCATTTCAGTGATGCCACAGGTTTGGAAGCAAACATAGACAAATCTAGCATGTTTGTAGCAGGGGTTGATGAGGAGACAAGGCATGATATGTTGAAGATTACTGAATTCACACTATGGACCTTTCCTATAAGGTACTTAGGCCTTCCTTTTACATCAAAGAAGTGGAATAAGATGGATTACAAGCAACAAGTAGACAAGATCACAAGCAAAATTACTGCTTACATAAGGCAACTGTCATATGCTGGGAGATTGCAAATAATAATGGCTGTTCTATTTTCTATATAAAACTTTTAGAGTGCTATGTTTATTCTGCCTCAAAGTGTGGTAAAGCTTGTGGACAAGAAATGCAGGGACTTCTTGTGGGGAGCCACTGAAGACAAAAGGAAGGTTAACCTAGTAGCTTGGGATAAGGTCTGTATTCCTAAACAGAATGGAGGGTTAAACATCAAAAGCTGCTGTAAATGGAACATTGCTGCAGTAGGTAAACTACTATGGCAATTAACTAGGAAAAAAGACATTATATGGGTCAAATGAGTTAACAATGTATACATAAAGGATATGGCAAATATATGGGACCACCAATCACCAGCAGACTGTAGCTGGTATTGGAAGAAATTGAACACTCCCAAGCTTCAAATGGCATAATGGTATCAAGGTGACAAATACATGCTGTCAAAATCAGGAGAATACTCTATGTCAAAGAGCTATCAACATATATTGGGGCTCTGTCTAATACAAGGGAAGTAAAGCTAATATGAAGTAAAATAATGCTTCCTAAACAGAGATTTATTGTATGGTTGGCATGTCAAAATAAAATGCTAACCAAAGAAAGGATGCAGAGATTATAGTTAAAGGTAGAAGATCACAAGTGTTGCTTATGTGAGCAGAATCAGGTGGAGACTCAGACTCACCTTTTTGGACAATGCAAATGGATAGCATGCCTCAGAGAAAAGTTGAGTAGCTGGTTGGGTATCAAAATTCAGAATAATGAAGCAAATAAGGTGATCAAATGAATCCAAAGAAGAAGATGGAACCAAGTTCAGAAGGAGATAGTAGTTGTTGTATGGGGAGCCATGTTATATTATATGTTACAACCCATATCCACATGTGTTAGTTCATGTCATATATTAGTTAAGATAAATCCAAGAAGGAATTATCTTTGATATGATAAGAAGTCAATCCTATTGGTCTTAAGTGATACAAGAGTGTATAAGGGTGATTAACCAGTATTAGAAGTTAAACGAATCAAGGATGTTGTAACTCGTATTTTCAGGTAATCTAGCGGTGCTTAATACACTCAAGAGGTCATTTATTAAGGTATTTTAATCATATAATATC